CCTATTAGCGATGGCCTCCAACCTATTAGCGATGGCCTCCAACCTATTAGCCATGGCCTCCAACCTTAGAGCGATTGCCTCCAACCCAATAGCGATGGCTTCCAACCTAACAGCGATGGCCTCCAACCTAATAGCAATGGCCTCCAACCTAATAGCGATGGCCTCCAACCTAATGGCAATGGCCCCCAACCTCTTAGCGATGGCCTCCAACCTAATAGCAATGGCCTCCAACCTAATAGCGATGGCCTCCAACCCATTAGCGATGGCCTCCAACCTATTGGCAATGGCCTCCAACCCAATAGCAATGGCCTCCAACCTATTGGCGATGGCCTTCAACCTAATAGCGATGGCCTCCAACCTAATAGCGATGGCCTCCAACCCATTAGCAATGGCCTCCAACCTGATAGAGATGGCCTCAAACCTATTGGCAATGGCCTCCAACCTAATAGCAATGGCCTCCAACCTATTGGCGATGGCCTTCAACCTAATAGCGAGGGCCTCCAACCTAATAGCGATGGCCTCCAACCTATTAGCGATGGCCTCCAACCTATTAGCGATGGCCTCCAACCTAATAGTGATGGCCTCCAACCTATTAGCAATGGCCTCCAACCTATTAGCGATGGCCTCCAACCTATTAGCGATTAATAGCGATGGCCTCCAACCTAATAGCGATGGCCTCCAACCTAATAGGGATGGCCTCCAACCTACTAGCCATGGCCTCCAACCCAATAGCGATGGCCTCCAACCTACTAGCGATGGCCTCCAACCTATTAGCGATGGCCTTCAACCTCATAGCGATGTCCTTCAACCTAATAGCCATGGCCTCCAACCTAATAGCGATGGCCTCCAACCTAATAGCGATGGACTCCAACCTAATAGCGATGTCCTCCAACCTAATAGCGATGGCCTCCAACCTAATAGCGATGGCCTCCAACCTAATAGCGATGGCCTCCAACCTAAGTGCGATGGCCTCCAACCTCTAGCGATGGCCTCCAACCTACTAGCGATGGCCAAAAGACTCCTGTTTAGCTTGTTACCTCTTGCTGTCACTTAGCCAGTAAGCCTTACTACCTCCAACACATTCCAGCTGAGAAAAATGCTTAGCTGCTTCCTTTTACAAGATTAACAGCAAACTGGAAGACGTGACAATCAGTGTCGCCTCCAAGCATTGCTCTCAGCACATCTGCTCAAGGATATCCCTAAGTCTTCGCTTCGTGGTTTTCACTGCATCTCCGCGATTCCTCTGCGATTCCTTTGCGATTCCTTGCTCATGTGTTTGATCCCAATGACGTGCAATGATATCTCGGTTTGAGGCGTCTCTTGTCTGACATCTGCAACAAACAAGTCTCGTTGGCGAATACAGGAGCAAGCTCATGAAGTCAGTCACTGTCCACTCTTCCTCATGTGATGATTCGTGCAACTTGGCAAAAGGTACCATGATTATCTCCTTTTTGAAGGCATGCTTTTTGAATTATCTACTCTGATGTCACAGAGCTTTCTGTGATCATCAGTGAGGCATCTTGAATTCACCAGATCCAAGCTGGATGCAAACTTATGCTCTGTCTATCTCTGTCTTTTCATCGACAATTGTCACTAAAGAAGAACTTTCATTCATACCTTTCCGCTAAAGCTGCGCCTTCAGCCTGCTTCCTACTGCTACAAGCTGATTTTTCAGCCACCAACAGCTTCTTCAGCGTTCACCAAGCTTGTCCCCCAGCTCGAGAATACGGATGAACTCGTCCTGGCACGACCAAGCTGTTGTTCAATGAGTTCCACGAGCAGACTATATTAGACCTGTTTGTCCTTTTCTGTTTTCTTTGTTTCCAATAGCAATGGCCATCCAAGCTAGTAGCGATGGCCTCCAACCTAATAGCCATGGCCTCCAACCTAATAGCGATGGCCTCCAACCTACTAGCAATGTACAAACATTTCGGATGCTGATGCTGTCCAGTCTGCGTGATGCTTGCTCGGTGAAAGGAACGTTACACACTTAAAGTCTTTCAGTGCTGGGAAAGTATGCTGATGAACTCCGATGCATTATGAGATACTCGGACGGAACCTTGCAGAACCTCATGTTTTTCCAGCCCCCTTTTCCATCAACTTGGCACTTTGTGTGGCAAAATGGATCTACCATGTTGACTCGACAGCCTCACATCAATCGGCCTTTCGGGCACTTCGGAGTCAACACAGCAAGTCCACACGGCCACAAACGGGACCAAACCGCCCGAAAGTTCAAACGAATTCACCGACATTTGGCTCAAGGCCTAGGGCCACCGGAGCAAAACAAGGTCTAGTTCTAGTGACCTTTGACAAGGTCAACAAATTCGCGATTGTCCCAAATGGTCAATCCATTTATTTGACCTGAATTGTATTGGACACTCATGCAACAAACTAGTCCAAAGGACCTCAACATATGTGGAAGGCACACCTTGTGTCAAACAAGCAATTGATTTGGATCGTCAACACCGTCATCGTCTTCACAATGATACGCCACTGGCTGCCCTCCGACTTGGAGCAGGGCAACGTGAGCAACTAGACTCATGAGCAAATTCAGAAGAGAAACTCGTGATACAAGTATTGACCACATCCATCTTCCCTGCTGCTTGATACTGAACTTGAAGCTCATCACCTTCTTCGGCTTCCTCCAAACAGGTCATAACAGGTCAAACAGGTGGAAGAACAGGTTGACTTTCTGTGCAAAACCCCGACTCCAAGCCGGTCTTTCCTGCCTTGTTTCCTTCCCTTTTAGAGCTAAGTTTCCCTCAAATCCGAGGAACCAAATGAATAGTTCGAGCGCTATCCTGAGGTTTACTAGCTACCTAGCTACGCCCTACCCCCCCTTAAAAGATATAAATTAGTGATATAAAGAAAAACAACGTGTCCTGTATAAGTGGATGGTCTTTCAAGACCTTTTGGAAGAGCTGCCACTCTGCTGGAGCTTCATCGGTCAGGGACAAGCACTGGATCTGCGACTTGTTGCGCAAGAGGCACAGCTTCAGCTTGCTGTCTACATGTTCAGAACGCCACCAGCAATGAAAGCGAAGCATTTGGATGGAAGACTTGAGCGGGCAAGTTCCAATGCCTGAGATCAGAAAAAGCAACATCAATGATGGCCTCCATCAATGCATCTGTTTCAAGCCTACAGCGTACAGGCGTACAGCCTATATCAAACCCAGACCTTCCGTTCCAACACGAGACCGCGTCTGTTGGTCTCTTCGTCTTGGTTTCACCACTTGTGGGTCTTCGACAACGCCTTTGTGCATGAGATATACGAACGTCTTATCTCTAGGAGCAAGGACGCTACGTTCGGGGCTCCTGGTAGTGAGAGGGTGAGTCCAAGACCGAAACTGTGCTCCAAGACTGCGAAAGTCGGAATGAAGGTCCAAAGAAAAACAAATAAAGGTCTAAAGTCTAAAGGTGTAAAGGAGGAACAAGAAGCTACTAGGAGCCATATGCTAAGAAAAAGAAAAGAAGAAAGTTCAAAGGAAGTAACGAAAAAGAAGAAAGATCTAAAGGAATGTGGGTGCTTCACCCAGCTGACAACCCCCAAGTGATCCAAAAGGTCACGTCTACCGACACAAATGGCACGTGCGCTCGCGTGATCGGCCTTTCAACACGCTGATGGCAAAGCGAAACACCACTAAGAGAGACAGAGACATGACAACCTTAAGCTATCACTGTTGTGGAATAAAGAAAGTATAATGTTATAACTATTATATATGTTTTAATTTGTGGGTGTACAGTAACCTACAATTCCTGTCACAAATGTGTGTTATTCTTTATGACTAAGCCAAAGACTTTGAGGCTGATCTGTGACCTCACCGTGCCAGTGGTGACGGATGTTCTTGAGCCTCCTGGCGGAATAGCAATGGCCTCCAACCTCGTAGCAAGCTAAAATTAGACCTTGTTTCCTTTTCTTTTTCTTTGTTTCTAATAGCGATGGCCTCCAACCTAAATAGCAGTGGCCTCCAACTGAACATATGCTGTTGAGTCAACGTGTGACTCGACGTTGTCAAGCCTGGAAGTACTCGTAGCTCGATATTGCTCGCAGGCCTTGCAACAATAGCCTCGTCTCTCGGCAACATAGGAGCACATAGGGTTTTTGCAGCGACCAGTCGTGAGAGCTTTGGCTGTGATTTGTTGGCACTGCCCTTCATGCTCACAAGATTCAAGTTCCCTTGGTACCAGCACAATGCTCATACCACTGGCCATCAATCGACACCTCTTGCCGACCTGATATTTCATCTCAAAGCAGTCTCCGGGTTTGGCATCTTGTACCCAGACGCTTCCGCGATCCAAGCAGAACTCGAAGTGACTGGCCACACGTGGTGCAGGTTCTTTCCCACTGATCTTTCGACAATGCAACTCCTTCCCATTCCGCACCAAAGCGATGTACAAAAAGCTCTTCCGCTCCAATTCGCCCTTATCCTGCCAAAATCCTCGGAGATGCATCCTGGCTAATGGCCATGGAAGCGCTGGCGACATCACATGGCCTAAGCCCGGGCCCAAGCACCGCTCTCCGAGTAGCTTCTTGTCCCTAGTAGTATGGCCAGGAGCCCCTAGTGGCGTCCTTGCTCCTAGTAGGGATGCCCTTTGCTCCTAGTAGCCCTTCTTCAGGGATGGCCTCCAACCTAGTAGCGATGGCCTCCAAGGCCTCCAACCTAATAGCGATGACCATCACTTCTGAAGGTGATGTGTTTAAGTGATACAAGGAAAGACAAAATGGAATGAATGGCGCCAACCGTGGCTTATCCTTCCAAGCGGCTCTTGATGTCCTCGGAGATGTTTCTTGTGTTGATGTCAGTCCTCAAGAATTCTCGACTGAGCTAGGACATCTGGTGTGAACTCTCCTCTCCGTTTTGATTATCAGCTTCACATAAGAGCCTCCAATGAGGTGAATATCACGTGAACCAATCTCTCTGTTGAAGTGAACACCCTGCTTGATAGGAAATCTAAGCCTGTGGCCCTATACCCTATACTTCTTTGATGCCCTTCTTCTAATCCTCTGCAAATGATGCGGCATTGAAAGCCAAGGAACGGCACATCCCAAACAAGACTGTTGTCATGCAATTTTTGGCAGGTTGCGCCTGAGTTGCACGGACACAACAAACGCTACGGTCAACCGAAACGTAGAACTGAAAGGATGTCATGCAACTTAGGCACAACAAAAGGAGGTTGCAGCTTGATCACATAGTGGTTCTTGAAGCAAATACGCACAGGCTGGGTTCTGGCAACGAGACTGAAGTGCACCGGCACCGCAGCCCATGGCGGTAGAGATGGCAGTCGGATCGGCCCGGTCGGAACGCATCGCTGAAGAGTGAAGTGGAGCGAGCTCAAGCGACAGAACGACAGAACCTCATCCCTTTTGGAGAGACGTCATCCATTTAAGGAAAGAGAGTGTGTATGTTACTTGTTTCGTTGGTAAGTCCATTAAGCCAAAACCTTTAGGGTCTTTCCAAGCCTCAAAAGGCTAAACATGGAACCGTGAACAGCGTTCCTGCTTAAAGAGCTGAGACCTTTTCCGAAGTAATCTTCTCTTTCCTTGACAGCTTCAATAGGTAGTGTAGTATGACATAGGATGACACTAGTAAAGACAAGTAATGAGTAGAGAAGGAATGAGCAGCTAAAACAAACGATGGGAAGCTTGAGCGAGAGAATCAACACTGCGCCCAAAGTCTCAGCCACTCTGGCCTCTGTGAAGGACAAAACCCGCGCTGCTTCCATGTGGGCACGTTGCCTCTTCAGCACCTCATTTAAAAAAAGACCAAGTCTGAGCAACAGAACACACTGCGGAGACAGGTTTACATCCGTATCACGAGAAGCAAGGCAAAGCGCACACACGGGACAAAATGGCAGCTTAAGTTATGACCTGTGCATTCGCTACCAAACTGTGCAAAGGCCAGGGACATTTCTACTTGGTTCAATTGCTGGCCTCAATCAGCTTCATTTGCTTCTTAAAGGCCCCGACCTGAAAGCTGCCAACATAATTCTCTAATACGTCGGCTCATGGAACCAGCAAACGTCTGAGGTCGCTACGAGCTCTGTTCGTTGTCGTTCCAATTTTCTTACCTTTCACTCATTGGCACGTGTTGTATCACCTGTCCTGTTCCGTATGCAACTCTGAAATGCAAACTATTAGGGTGGAGGCCATCGCCACTAGGGTGGAGATCATTGCTAGTGGGTTGGAGGCCATCGCTCTTAGGTTGGAAGCCATCGCTACAATTAGTGTCCTTGCCTCATTGGTCAAACGATCTACCTCCCGTCGGTCGGAACAAACTCGATCACGTTCCTTGGCACAACATGTTGCGCGAGGAAGAATGCATGAAATCTGGAAGTCGCTGCAAAAAGACTATTAGCAAGGTTTATTCCTCTTCCTGTCTATCCCTTTCTCATGTGTGTCTTCCTTGTTTTTGTGTGTATCTTTAGACCATTATTTCTTTATGTTCTTTATGTTGTGCTTTTTGTCTTTAGAGTTTTCTTCCATGTTCTGTGTTCTCTTTCAATTTCTGTAGACCTCTCGTCTATTCTTTGTGTCCTTTGTCTTTTTTCCACCTTAGATATTCCTTTAAGGTCTGGAAGGTCGCTGCAAAAGAAGTGTGATGAAGTGGAATGTGGGAACGTGATGAAACGGGAGGTAGTGAGGCTGTGCTCAAGTGCAATGTGGTGATGCTCAACTATGTGATGATTTCCTCTTTAAGTCTCTGCAATTCGGTTTCTCGGCCTTTTTCTGTTCTTTTTCTTTTGGTGTGTCCGTTTTCTTGTGTCTTTAGAGTGCTGTTGATTTGTGACTTTTTCGTGGATGTTATTATCTTTTGTTTCTTTTGATATTTACACCCTTCCTTTTTTTCTACAATCTCTACAATTCCATGGTTTTGTAGGAATCTCGACGTTTGACTGTTCTGCATTCCTCCCCGCAAATCTCCACATCCCGTTGTTCAAGCCGCGTCTTTGGTGGCCCTGTGGTATGTTGCAGGCGTAGGTCGTTCATCAGTTAATCAGTCGACAATATGGCGAAGCAGTATGCAGTATGCAGTTTAAGAAGGTATCAAAGCAAACTTCAACAAGGCCATCTCTACTGGGTTGGAGGCCATCGCTATGAGAAACAAGTACAACAGAAAAGCAAGAAAGGTCTATATTTTGTTTGCCTAGGAGCGATCGGACGTTCGGGGCTCCTGGCCTTACTACTAGGAACAAGAAGCTACTAGTAACAAGTGCATCGCTTCTAGTAGCAAGTGCCTTACTAGTAGTAACAAGAAGCTACTAGGGACTCCTGGCCTTACTAGGAGGCTACTCAAAGGTCCTTTCTTTCACCAAACTGCCTTTCCGCACCAATCCGGATCCTGAGTCCCTTTGAGGTCCGCGCGCGCGAAAGCGCATGCGCACTCCCTACGGTTTCTTTTTTCAGCAACTTGGAACCGATTGGACGTCTGGTTCCTTGAAATATCTTGCTCTTTGTCTTTATGTCTTGCTCTTTGGATATACTTGACCTCCTTTGTGCTCTCCGCAAGGACGCTACTAGGGCTCCTGGCCGTACTACTAGGAACAAGAAGCTACTATATGCTCTCCTTTCCTTTCTTGTCTTCCTTGAGACCTTGTCTTTTGATGTCTTTTGTCCCTTTGTGGTTCTTCCTTCATGTTCTTGATTGAAGCGTCGGCCGTTGCTGGACAACCTCAGCCTAGATATGCCTAGATCCTATCGTCGAGTGGCCTGCATATTTGCATCTTTGGCAGCTGCCTGTTGGAGCAGAGAAACGTGGGGAATCAAGTCTACTACAAGACGAAGCAAGCCAATGCATGTGCAAATATGATGCATCACTAGCGGTGTTGAACTGGTCTTGTCACCTCAACGAGACCTCCCCACTCAGAAAGCCCGAGTGTTGCAGCAGTTTCAGCTACTATTCAGGACAATTCAGTATAGATTGAACAATCTTGGCCATGAAAAAGCATGTCAAAGCATGCCACAGCCTTCAGCTTCTCACATTCCTCTGTCAAGCGGTTCACTCGAGCCTCCTGTGTTCAGGCTCAAACTCTCTTACCTCTCTTACGATAGTGAGCATGGGAATGCTCTGCAAAACTGCCTACCCAGCCCTCGCAAGGACCTGCTATACTTTCTTGATCATTCTTATGGCTAAAAGTATCTAAAAGTGAAACAAACACTGCTTGCCACTTGCCACTTGCCAAGTTCCGATTTCCCCTGCATTTCGTGTCCTTGCTGCTGTTTTCGGCCTCGACCTTTCTGACTTTCAATTCCAATTGGTCCTTCACCTGTGAGAAGAAATCGTCAATCCAAATGGAACCAGAATGAACACAACACACAATGCACAACACGGTACAGCACCACAACACAGCATGTAACACATTCGAACATGTAACACATTGATTTGCACAGCACTTGTTTCAACCTTTGTCTGTTCCGCAGATTTTGTTCCTCTGAAAATTCTTCAGGTCGTTTCCGCCCATCCTTCTGGAGATCAGCCCGCTCTAGGTCGAGATCCTGAAGCTTTGACGTCGTTGAAGCGAGTTGTTGCTTGATCTTCTCCTCAGATCTCGCGAGTTGAGACGCTTTGTACGGTCGGTCGGTCAGCGTCAGACTGGCGCTGACCATCCAGTGAGCATAGTCCGGCTCCAGTCCTGGGTCTGCTCGAGTGAAGCATTCGTCTTCCTTGGTAGCATCGGAGATGGGATCCAACGCCCCGAACGTAGCGTCCGATCGCTCCGTTCGTAGCGATGCCCAGGAGCCCCTATATAGTAGCTTCTTGTTCCTAGTAGCGATGCCAGGAGCCATTTGTCTTCCTTAATGGATTTCATCCAGGTGGCTGCAAGTGCTTCTCTCTTTCCAAGACCTGGACGCTCCAGAGCAACTAGTGCACATCACAAGGACACTAGTATCCAATCAAATACAACGAACAACGGAGTAAATGAATCAACGAGCTTGAACTGGCTTGAGTATGAGTTGACTTAATCAATTTGCTAGAAACGATGTTCAACTGCCAAATTGAACATGTTCAATGAACGCAACACCCTGTCCACTTGCCTGCTTTAGATCTTGTCGCAGTTGCTGTACCTGTCTCAGTCACCAGATTGCGCCACGGTGGAGGTTGCGTCGACGCTTTGCTTGACATCTGTGAGATGAGAAGACAGGATGCCCAACAAGTCGCCTCCTTGTCTTTCTGTGCTGCTTCAGTGCAAGCGCGGTCAACCTCCTGCCAGTTCGTACACCATTTCTCTCAGACTAGGTCGAACTTGAGCATTCGTGGACATTCTAGGACTATGCCAATTCGAGAATCGCAGGCATTGTTTTGAGCAAACATCCACCAGCCAGAAACCTTTGTTCTGCATGCTCCCGGCTCCAAAATGGCACGGGAAATGCATTAACTAGGAGAGCAAACCACGTCCGCTGGAGCAGTCACTTGCAGTCACTCCCAAATGCGGATTGTGCCTGGGATGTTTTTGGACTCACAGCAGTTGGGACTGCCTGTGGAAGCCTGTATCATCTCAATAGGGCTACAAACCCGGGGTTTGAACCTTCTTTGGAAGGCCACCATCGTGGTTCTTCAACGTGGACGTTCTCGTGCTTTTTCACTTCGGGTTTCCATCTGATATGGAGTTTGCATGGGGTCTTGGGGCAGCGCAGAAACCAACAAAATGGCACACCCGGCTCCCGATCCATGAATAGATTCCGAAGCTTCCAGGATGGCATGAAACCATTGTCTGAGCATGAATTACACTTTGGACAATCTCTTTTCAGCTAAGGGACTATCTTTTGTCGCAAAACTTTAGGTTGGGGCCATTGCTATTAGGTTGGAGGCCGTCGCAAGTAGGTGTCTTTCTTTCTCATCACCAGGGCATCAGGTCATCGGGTCGTAGAGGACCGGAGTGTGCCGTGGTCACCGATATCGACGAACGATCACCCGAAGAACCGGACGTCACCCTGGTCCACCTCCCAACCACCCAGGCCCTTTGAGGGAGCAGTGAGCCCCCTGTAAAAACCACAAGGGAGGAAGTGGGAGTAGTAATTACAGTAGCTTAAATGTAGATAGAGAAAAACCTGAAAGCAGGTACATGATGAGAGAATCAATCCAAATAATGGTTGAAACGGGAGGGAAATAACAAAAATAACTAAAATGTGATGGTACCGAAGCAATGTCCGCAGAATGTAGTATTGAGATGTGAGGACCCACTTGACAGGGCAAGAAACCTCGAACTGAACGACGGCACAGTGGGCAAACGCGCGGAGTCCGCGCATTGATCTGCGCAGCACATGGCTCGCAAATACAGAAATGCCTTACAGAGCAAGTGTGAAGAGTGCTGGGTCGGAAAATCTCAGTCTGAGACATTAAGCGAGCTAGACTCATGTGATGGACTGTGCCTTCGTTTAGTGTTGCAGGTCTTATAGATTCCAAGAAACGCCTAACTCCCCAATGCTTCCAAGATACCCGCACGGCAAAAAGGCATGGGTTTTTGTGGTATCCTTCCACAGCGATGGACGCAGCTTTACGCGCGCACTATAGTAGTCCGCGCATTCTATTGCATTCTACTCTCATGCTGCAATGCTCTACTACATCTTAATTGGCTTTGCTCAGAACTATCTCATCAAACTTTCAACAACGCGACATAGAAAGGGCTTCTCTGAAAGGCTTCATGGTCCAAAATGCCTGACCCCTTCCACCACAAACCAAGTTGCTGTCTTTCGATTTAGGGGTTTGTCTTGACCTCATTTTTGCCCTTACTATTACTCCAAAGATGCGTTCTCCATGGCCTTCACATCGAATATATGTTAACGGTGTGCGTCTTACATCTGCATGGTGAAAGGCCTCAAGATCTGGAATCTGAATCTGCTTGCCAACCTTCACTCACCCGTGCAAAGCATTATTTTTGCACTTTTTCAGTCCTTCCTGCTACTTAGCCTTTCAACATGGCAGCATTCCCGAATTGCTTTACTGGGAGCCTTTTTACTGGGAATCGTATTCTTGCAAAGGGCCTCAGTTCAGAGTAGTCTGGATTGTCTTAGCCTCTGCAACCTGCTACTCCTACGATGACGACTACAACTGCTGCTGCTGTTGTTGTCTGCCTTGCACACCACAATCCACGACGAGTGAGACGTGGTTTTGGTGTTGATCGCACCAACGATAAACGAGAGAGATTGCGACCGCAAGGCCCCAAGGTCTTGTGTTTCCAACATGGCGCGCTTCTTTAATTAAGCTTAAACAAAAAGCTTTTCTTGGCTGCCTTGGCCTGAAAAACTGCACAAACACCGAAACACCATCTGTGCCTACCCTCCCGCCTGACACACCACGCAAAGCCGCTCCGCCTCCCTGTCCACGTCTTCTAGTTGACGCTTTCGGGCCTTGCACATTAGTACAGTAGACGCCCATCGACTGTCTGTGCGTTTTACTACCTTTGCATGGAACTCGCTTGAATAAAACAAAAGTCTATTTACTTATTGTTTCTAATAGCTTCTTGTTACTACTAGTAAGGCACTTGTTACTAGAAGCGATGCACTTGTTCCTAGTAGCGTCCTTTGTTAGACAAAAGTCTTGAACGAAGAAAGGAATGACATTCGTGCCCTTCTCAGCGTCTCTTTCAGTTGAGAATCTGTGCCAAAGGTAGCCGTGGCTGGAGCCTCAGTGTGCTGAAGGGACTTTGCTATCTACAAAAAAAATAAGGACAAGAGTTAATTGAACAAGCAAATCTCATCTTCAAGTTGAAGGACTTGTGACAGGCATATGTTCGTTGAGGCTTGCGCCTCATTGCGAAGGTCATCATCCTCGATGACTTCCACTGACTCCTGCCAAACTAAGTGTCTGTGAAGAAGAAAAACAAACACAAACCAAAGCTGTCTGCTACTCTGCTGAGATCTGCTGAGTGCATTTTCAACACACCCAACTTGTCCCTGGTCCCAGGATCACTCAATCGGTAGGAGCGACGGGTGGTGTGTACAAAGGGCAGGGACGTAATCAGCACGAGCTGACTCGCGCTCTCAGTTGGTCCTCGCTTAGCTCGTTGGAAGAATCATCATGCAAGTCCTGCGCATCTGCTTGCGCTGAACAACAACAGAACAACAACAGTTAGAATGACCGCTTCATACGATCTGCCCATGAGCTTTGTCAAGGCCATCGCTAGTAGGTTGGCCATCGCTCTTAGGTTGGAGGCCATCGCTCTTAGGTTGGAGGCCATCGCTACTATCCGTCATCAAGCCATCTTCCCCTGTCCGGGCTGTTCTGCACCACCTGCACGGCTTCCAATGCCCGTAGCTTGTGCCAGCAAATGAAGCGGCCACCTTGACTTAGAAGCGCCGCATTGAACCTGGGTAGATTTGGTAGGTTGACCCTTCACTGCATTGTGTGATGGCTTGAACACCCCATAAGCTGCTGATCGAGGTGGCATTATCCAAAGTCCCGGCTGCAGCGCTGGTCCTGTCGAATGTGAGTCCGAAGCTTCGTATGCTCTTGCACCCATGCTACATGTACAAACGCATCAGCATTCGTCTAAAGAAACCAGCAAGGAGGAAGAAGCAACAGTGCCTTGTCTTCAGAATCAGCCTGGTGTCTTGTCTGTGGTGCCTGTGTTGTCCTAAAAATCAATGGTCTGTACTAGCATCTTGAACTCTTGCATGTGGGGCCTGGATAGAAAAGCTTATCTTGGGCTTCACGCTACAAATCCTTTGCACCTAGAAGGATTCTGCAAAGTTCACAGTCAGAGATCTTTCTCTCTCGCTCTCTCCCTCTCTCTCTTTTCTCTCTGTTGATTGAGAAGACACAAGGCGCTGTGAGACACCAGCTACTCGCTTTTGTATTTGGATGATATACATGCCTCTCGAAGGCATCCAAACTACATAAATGCTGACCTGATAAGAACTCTTCATTTCCATCGGATTCCTGCCTTGGTCTTTTGCAACTTTGTCCACCAGCAAGCGGATCGATTCGCCCCTAACACCACGCAGTTGCATCTGCAAGGTAACCTAGCACATGCATGGCAGGTGTGGCATGCAACGCCGCACATCTTTCACATAGCCACAAATGAGTCGCTGTTTGCTTTGTTTGAAAACGCCATTCCATCTGCGGAAAATGCTGCGTATGGCATGCGTTTCAGCTGAGACGTTTCGTAAATGCAAAAGTTCAATGAAAGAAGTCTGGGCAAAGCCTCAACATGACCATCTTCTGCTTGATGTACGTATCTGATGCGGCCAATCCATCGAACCTGCAGGCACTTCTTTGGAAAGTACTGTGGCAAATTAGACTTGCATGAGTTCAAGACTGCATTGTGTAAGTAGATACTATGTTAGACTTGCATCGGTTCTATTTTCTTTTGAGCCCCAGCGTGCTTGGATTGGTGGACTCTTCCTTCATCCTGGTGGCCTCAAACCCACATTCTGAATCTATGTCAGTTATTGATCTCGTAGCTTCTCACAAATTAATTTCGTCGGTTCAAATGGACCACACCTCTTTGAAAGCCTATTGCGTGAGGCGTTCTATTGAATAACAATTTAAAGAAGAAGAAAGATGGAAATCAAGTTCGAAATAAGGATTCAAAATAAATACAGAAAAAATTGAATCGATTACAAATTGTGTTTGTTTTTGCTTTAGAAAGGGTGAAAAAAAGGCTTTTGGAGGATCTTACAACAGTCTTACGCATGGAATGGAATGCCTTGGAGCATCTTCCTCGACAAGAACACTGGGCCTTTGGTCTTGGCCTCAAATACAATGAAACCAAACTAGTCAGAAATGAAAGAAAGAAATCGTATTCAATAAAATGCTTGAAAAACAAAATAATGTCCTACTTACCACACACATCTCGCGGTCCACGATCCGCCCCTCATAGCCCTTCCACTAAGTGGGGTGCTAGAGGGCATGACTATATCACAGAATCCCAAGTGAAAAGACACGTGCACCGCACAACTCACTGAACTGGTTTAAGACACAGATCATGAGGAAAAGCGAATTAACGGCTACCGGAAGCTAAGGAAAGCTACTCAGTCAACAACCAATTCATCGAGCGACTTTTTGAGGCGAATTTGTTTGCGAACCTTTTGGTAAAGGTTATGCCGAGCAGAAAAAGTTGGTTCAATTGGTAGATCTGAGAAGTGCTGCGCAAAATCACGGCATACGGGAAATGGCAACCGGACATTGAGAGGATATGGCTGGTCTGGGAGGGCCGAGTATTCTGTGAGCATTTTAATAGCAACGTCGGAATGAGGCAATTCGGGTCGAGCTGCCATGCCACCAACCAAGGTGCGATGAAAACCTAAACGAACAAGCGATGAGGCACAGGTTTCTTATACCGAGGGAACAGTTGACACTGCATCGTACCTTCAAGATATCTCACAATGCCCCTTAAAGTGGAGGCCTGATGGCACAGAGCATGTGCGGATTTAGGCTGGATTTGGGCTTCAGGAGAGTCAAACTCATATGGTCTATGGAGTTTGATTTTCGGATCATATACCCAAATCGGGAGGCCTTTACCAGAGAAGATGATGAAGTGAATCGCGAGTTCAATCCATGTAATGCCAAAATCCCCGGGAGTATTTGGCGCATCAGGATGCCGCCATTTAAGTGATACAAAGAAACACCATACCATATGAGCAATCTGTGCACCCGCATTACAGGCCCGGGCGACCACTGGCATTAATGTATGTGTAACCTGCCAAGGCAACGAAAGCAGTTTCCAGTGCGACAGCTTATGACGGAAAGTTTGAAGAGCATCAACGTTATTAAATTGATGAGTTTCTGCGGCACCTTCCGGTTCAGAGTGTTGCAGTGACACATGTAGTTGGTTCAGGTCAGCTAAGTATGTGTAAATGAGAAAAAGGAGATGCATTTGGCACTGACTATGTTTGTAAATGTGGGACACTGCACTCTGCATGGCATCAATATCTTGGTGATTCAAAAGCTTGGCCGCCTCATCCGCGAGATCATTTCCAATAATCCCATACAAGTCTTGCAAGCATGTGGCTTCAGATTTATCGCGATGAGACTTAACTTTATGGATGTGGTAAATATTTGGATGCCATGAGTCTTTGAGACTGCGGATCAAGTCATAATGTCCTACTTACCAAAATAATGTATCCTTCTGTCCTTTACCTTGCATGTTCTGTTCTTATCTTTTCCTTTTTTGGAACCAGAACAGCTTGGACGGTTTGGCCACCGGCTCCGCACCGGCTCCACCTTGCAGCCTTGAAAGAAGCGCTGAAAGACGATGGAGTCCGACAGACTGTTGTTGGCGAGCTGTTCTCGCTGCGCGGCAACGCCACAACAGCGAATGTAGTGCTTGTAAGAGATGGCATAGTCTTCTATTGCTCTGGAACCTGAGAAGTGAGAGTGAAATGGTCTAAAGGTAGGACATAGAAGACCGATCTAAAGAACGGCACCATAATTGAAAAAAAAAGAAACAACACCAACGACTTTGTTAGTAATTAGCGGTAAGTGGCACCAGGACCTCACGTTAGATGTGTATATTTTTGTCTGTCCTTTCTGTCCTCTCAAGGATTTTAATGGATTAGAAAAACTGATTGAACTCATCCCAAGGCAACTTCCAAGGGGTAGTCCGCAAGCGCCACGGAAATGGTGTATCAAATGCTGTGTATTGGGTATGGAAATATACAGGGTGTCGCTACACCCGGGAAGATCAACATGGAACTTCAAGGCGGGCCAAACTGGAAGACAATTTCCTCCATAAACCAGGGATTTTCAGTTTCCATGTGAATCTTCCAGGGCGTAAGTGATCAGCTCGCACTGAGATGTCTATTGTTTCCTTTGGATGTTATCTTGTTTCTATTCCCAAAAAACTCCCAGACCATACTCCCGCTCTTTAGTCGCTTGAGGAGAGGTGTTGCCGATCACTTATCACTACACTATACCCTTCACTTGTTTCAAGGCAGGTGCTTAATTACATGCGAATCAGAATCCTATATCAAGGCAATTTGCAAAGGTCTCTTGCACAAGGAAATGCTCTGTTCAGCTAGAGCTTGCGAACGAGTTGCAAAGGATGCGGCCTGAAGATCCTCGCTGAAGCAGCTGGAGCCGTGCAAAAAAGTTCCGACCTGCTCTGCCGTTGCTTAGTCTGTGTCGCAAGCTGCATATCAATGTCCAACACAAAGAGCGCAACGAAATTGCCAAGTTGAAGAAATTGCGGAATGAAAAAAAGGAATGAAGGAATGAATCGAAACGTGGATCTAAACATCGCCAAGACTTGCTGGCAGGTCATTTTTGTTCAACAAGGCTCTTGGAAATGCTTTCAGCCTCGAAGCTTCACAATGATGAAGCACAAGGAGTCCCCAGGGAACAACTTGCCCATCGCTAGGCCTGCACGCCATTTAAACGTACCCTCTCCAACATCTTTCACCACAAAAAATGCGATGGCCTCCAACCCAAGAGCACAAAAGGAAAAGAACCTCTTCGATTGGCAAAAGCTGGGCCTGTTGGAACTTCCGCATGGATATAGCAGGACTGAGAAGACACAGCACATGTCTCACCAGCTTGCGGGAGGTCGATGAGAATGCCTTCTGCTGATACAAGCGCCCCATTTGGTGTGGAGTAGCCTCGCTCGTCTGTTGCAAAAGGGGTGCGCAACAAAACAACAAGAACAAGAAGCACAAGGCCTTGCCCCAAAAAACACATGCTGCGAGCCAGGAAACGATTAAAATCTGCAATACCATCAAACACGCCTGTGGCCAATGCGGAATCTCTGCAAGCGAGCGAAATAACTTGACACTGAAGGGGAACACCTTTTGTGTATTTACCCGAGAATTGCCCAAAGACAACGATCGCCACCCTTTTTGGAATCTAGAAAGCCATCCGGGCCATAAACCAGAGGCCGCTGGGTTGCATCAAGATCAAACGAAAACTGATAGCATTGGGCAACGAACAGCACCCCTTCATACAATCCACGCATGTTTTGGGGTGTCACTCCTGATCTATCCCCGGTGTCATGGCCTAGTTTCGTCGTGTACAAACCTTCCAAGCAGAACAAGGGACGCTACTGCTACTAGTAACAAAGGGCATCGCTACGAACGGAGCAAGGACGCTCCGTTCGGGGCTCCTGGCCTTACTACTAGGAACAAGGACGCTACTAGGAGCTTGAACACTTTGAGACATACTGTGAAACATCTCAGGAATTTGGTGTGTAGCCCTTTGACAAACTTAACGGCACCTTAAGGGGTAGGACTCTGGTGGGACTGAAGTGTTGAGATATCTTGGAGACTGCCTACTAGCGTCCTTGTTCCTAGTAGTAAGGCCAGGAGCCCCTAGTAGCGTCCTTGCTCCTAGTAGCGATGCCAGGAGCCCCTAGTAGCTTCTTGTTCCTAAAGCATTCTGTGCCGAAATGTGCATTCAAGTGTGCCTTTTTGAGTCCAAACCCTGGATTCTCGGCTGGGCAAGTGACCATTTGGTGAAGTTTGTGCCGAGAAGCCACAGCGCAATGAAATGTTTGACAAACGACTGTCTTTACATGGCAAGTGTTCGTCTTCCTTGAAGGCCATCGCTCTTAGGTTGGAGGCCATCGCATTGACAAAAACCACACGTCCCTTCCATCATGTTCTCCATTGCATTTCACCAGGAAACTTCGGGGCTGGCGCACGCATGCTTCAATCTCAGCCAGCGATGTCCCAGCACCCATGGCTCAGCGCCATGGCATTGCTGGCGCGTGGCTCAATGCGTTACAAACTACACAGCTGCTTGGTCTGCTGGCCACTCAAAAACAAATGAAAATGCTCACAGTAAGAAACAAAGATACTGAGGTGTGCCATTTCTTTGTCGTGGGCCATTCAATTTCTGAGCCAGGTGATGTGGGGCGAGGAATGGAATGATATGGTCAGGAAGTGTGGAGATCTCAAAAGTCTTACCATTCCGATAAACCCTTCTGCTTTTGGATCATGCTCATGTGTCCCTTGCTACTACGAATACCACGCTTTCCTTGCTCTTCCTAGCCATTAGCACTCTTGGCATGAAGCATGGCTCACCTCTTGCATCTGCACCATGCGGGCATTCTGCAGGCGGATGGTTGTATGTAGCGCCTCACGATGTATTCGCACATGCTGTCAGTCCCAGCAAACAGTCTACAGAATTGGCAAACTCTCCTGACACGGAAAGCAGCGTTGCCGGCGGACAACGAAGGAACACCAATCAGCATAAATGAACATCCAGTGCGCCTCAGAGTCTCCTCCACTCCTGAATTCCAGCTTGTGACAGTCCTCTCCCATTCCCTCATCCCCTTAACTGCCTGTCCGCCTAGTGCACCTGGGTTCACCCGGTCCGCATGAGCGGTTCGGAGCGACCATACCGGCCCTCTGTGGAACATGAGATCTCATAAACGAACCCTCTGACTAGGTTGTCGTACGAATCAGTACTACTTTTCAAGAGTCTTTCCAGGGCGGCTGAGTGTTCACAAAAGAAGGATTAAAAGAATAGAAGGTCCCAAAGGTCCTGTAAAAAAAAAAGGTTAAAAGAATGCTTTAAAGAAAAAGAAGATAAGGATGACTTTCAGGCTCCGGCGCCAAATTCGTCGGCATTGCTTGACGTGGCGCTGTCACCTAGGGCGAATGCTCGAACTCGAAGACAAGAAATGTTGTCTGGCTTCATGTGTTTCATGTGTTCGTCCTTCTTTCTCCTTTGGACCTTTAGTAAACCTTTAGACCCTGTGTTCTTCCTTCTTCCTTTCCTTTGTGGAGGATAGTTCGGTAGCTAGCACTAGTAAGGATGCTACCTTGGACGGAAAGTGCGAAGGGAAATGCTTCGAGCATCTGGAATGCATTCGTTAAGGGTGGTGTTCTTGAAGACCCACGCGTCAGCAAATCTTCTATTGACAAGGAGCAAAGGACTCCGGAAGAAAATAGATTGAAGGAACAAACGAAGAAAGAAAGGTCTAAAGTCTAAAGTGTCTCATGAAAGAGAAAGGCGGTTGAAAGAAAGAAAAGGAAGAAGAATATGACAAATCAATGCTGTCAGAAGCGCTGATGAGACCTCATCCTCTTGCCCAAACCTCAAGGCATTAACACCAACTGACATGTTGAAACCCTCGAATCACTCGAAGACCCAAGAAGTGCAGAAATGGATCGGCCAAGCCGAACAATCATGGGTCCCATGTGCATTTACATGTGCGCCACATACCAGGCAAGGCTTTAGAATGCAAAACTAAACAGTCAAATCTGAGTGACAAAAAAAAGACCGTGAAAAAGACTAAGGTTTTGGGGTCCAAACGGCAATGTGTTTTCAACCTGGTGCCACACGGGTATCAGACTACAACGAATCAGGAATACTTCGATTGTACCGTTTGTGGTTCCGACTAAACCGAGGTCATCTTGACAACATCAGAAAGCAAAGTAGGATACTGAGTAATTAAACTCCTTCATGCTCAAACACTATGTTTGGAACGAACGCATGACGCGCTATTGCCCACCTCCCTCCTCCGCAGCTGAAGCGAGGCGGACCTATATGCTGATAGAATTCATTCAAGTGGCGCTTGAATTATTGACTTCTGTTGATCGATGTTTTCCAAAATAAAAGTAGTAACAAAGGACGCTAGTAGTAACAAAGGGCATCGCTACTAGGAGCAAGGAAGCTATTAGTAATTCCTGGCATTACACTAGTAGCAAGAACGCTACTAGTAACAAGGGCATCGCTACTAGGAGCAAGAACGCTACTAGTAGCTCCTGGCATTACTACTAGCAATAAGTTACGACTGGTGTCCTTTCTTTTTATCTGTCGCTTCAATTTGGGAACCCGGTTTCGATGCGAAGAACTTGGAACATAACATGCCTTCCTTGACAAGAACGGTCTAAAGAAAGAAAGGTCCAAAGGTCTAAAGAAAAAGGAAAAGAGAGAGAGAGAAGACACTTAATGCAATGAATAATTAAGTAATTAAGTAGTCAAGTAATGTTCTTATGTATATAATGTTCAAAAGTCAAACTAATCAAGTAATGAAAATACGATCCTATCCATATGAAGAAAATAAAGGACTGTGACATACGGATCATGCCATTCACTGGGCTCTCTCGCTCAGCTTCTTGAATCGCAGAATTGGCCTGAGAGACTCGCTCAGCAATCGGAGATTTGTTACAACAAAATCCGCTAAAAGAATGTCAGCCGTTCTCATTGCAAAAGAAACATTAATAAACTTCTTAGGGTGCGACTCAAAAGAACACTGCGATATCTCTACAACCTATCAACTTCCAGCCTGGGAGAGAGCTTGCGCACGCCTCAAAGTGGAAAAGAAATGAAATAGCGATTTTGCCGAGAATCATGTTGTTTTCCTAATAAAGGACACAAAAATTAAGGACTCTTGGAAACTAGGTATAAGTGCAGAAAAAAAAGCCCGTCAAACACCTTCGGTGCAAGAATGTTCCTAAGTCCTAGTCTTGGAGGAAAATCTAGTTATGGTGCTCAAGCATAATCCAAAATTTGTTCGAACAGTTCTTTCGACATATGCACTTTCATTGATGTGCCGGGTCAAGGAACTTCCTGTCAATCTCAGCAGCTCTTGCAAGGATCTCCTGGCCGAAAATCGTAGAGTTCCACGTAGAGTTTCCTAGAGGCGATGGCCTCCAACCCAATTGCCATGGCCTCCACCCTAGAAGCAATGGCCTCCAACCTACTAGCGATGGCCTCCAACCTAATGGCGGGGGCCTCCACCCTAGTAGCGATGGCCTCCACATACCACATGTCTCACTCGGTGCATAGGAATAGTTGGTGGGCAAGATAAAAGAAAAATGGACAACCATGTGTCCGTGGGACATAGTGAAAAAAAAAAAACGAATGCACAATGAACCCATCTTGAAATCTTGAAAACCTACAAATGTTGCCATGATGTTGACACTGTTTGATCAATGGAGGGGTTCCAGGCCTTCTCTCTTTGCTCCAAATCGATGTCGGGTGGAAGACACGACATGGCACAAATCCAGGTGCTTATGCCGGATGAAGCATCCGATTTTTCATAAGCAAGTACAAGACTGGAAACACATGCAATGGCTACAGTTACAGTGTGCGTCTTCGTCGTTCAATTCAGTAGCAACATTTGACAATGGCTACAGTTCCTGTTTGTAACCAGCGCTGGTTGCTGTCATGGCGTGACACGGATTTACAAGCAGTGCTTTGAGCAAAGCAGTGCTTTGAGCAAATGAAGAACTGAAAATCTGCCTCTGTCACCGGAGAATGATCTTAGAGGTCTTGCACATGGAAGAAGCAAAGGCAAAGTGACTGCCACATTATCATTTTGTGTAGACCAAAAATGCGACCACCAATTCTCAGCATGTGTCATACTCTCTGATTTTCCAAACCAACATCAGCAAAAAGCAGCAAATCACCCGCAGAAGCGAGAAACGCGATGAGATTCTGAGCTATGAACATATCAATTTGCATAGTCCCTGAGGTTTTTGGGTGCTGGGTGGCTTAATGTTACTTGATGTTTGCTTTGCAAGGACTTGCACAAATTTGTGGATTGCAACGCCTTACTTTGCATGTGGCTTCTCGTACATTTGTTCTGATCCCGGTCGTACCACGATGCGGTCGGCAAGATTCATTGCTTTGGCGTCTTCTTAATAAGCAGGAGCACCATCTCCAACATGTCAGCAGGAGCTCTTGCAAAGGAGAGGACGCTACGAACGGGGCTCCTGGCCTTACTACTAGGAGCAGGGGGACGCTACTAGGACGAGTGAGTTTCCTTCCAGGTCTCCCAGTTGGGAGACATGCCAGGCCCGCCAGGCTGCTCTGCAAACTGGACATGCCTGGAGAAGCGTGTTCAAGGGGCATCTCAAACCGAGTGGACTCCGCTTGCTCGCTGTCTCGGGCACTTCGACTAGGTGTGCTTGCAGGGTGAACTAGTGAACTCGAGCACTGAGTGAACCACATTTCGGGGAAGGGGATTTCAGATGCTCAGAGACGCGTCAAACAGACTACCTGACTCTTACTTAGATAGAGGACTACCTGACTACATCTGACTACCTTTGGGATAAGTGTTTTACAGTTTTTGCATGCTGACATGTTCAATTATTGGACAACAATAAAGCATTACTTGTTAAAAAAAATGTTTATGGTGCACTCTTGGGGGTGGTGCTCTCCTATGT